CTTTAGGCAAGCTTTAAAAGTGGGGAGTGGTGGAATAAGTTGGTGGGACTCTAGGATGGAATTCCAGAGAGCTGGGGCAGAATAACAAGAACAACAATTTTGGATTTATACAGCGTCCTCCATGCCGGACGGCGTCTCAGAGCGTTTTACTGTAACGGATCCCGGGGCCGAGCCAGTGGGAGGGGGAGGAAGGTGACCAAAGGTGCGGTCGAAAAGAAAGGTCTTCAGCCGAGACCTGAAAGTGGGAAGAGAGGGGGCGAGGCAAAGGCAGTGAGGAAGGGAGTTCCAGAGCCTCGGGGCGTAGTGACTGAAGGCACGGCCGCTGATGGTGGAGCGGAGGACTTGGGGGACAAGGAGGAGGCCAGACCAGGTGGAGCGAAGGCAACGGGCACTGTTGTGAGCAGAGAGGAGGTCAGAGAGGTAGGGGGAGTGCAAAGGATTGGAGGGATTTGAAGACAAGGGTGAGGATCTTGAAGTCAATCCTCTCTGGGACAGGCAGCCAGTGCAGTCTGGCAAGGACTGGGGTAATAGAGGAGCGGAGTTTGGTGCGGGTAAGAATGCGGGCAGCAGAGTTTTGTATGACCTGGATTTTATGAATGGAAGTTGAGGGGAGACCGGCGAGGAAGGCATTTGAATAGTCCAACCGAGAGGTGACAAAGATATGGACCAGGGTTTCAGCAGCTTTTGGAGTGAGGTATTGGCGGAGACGGGCAATGCGTCGGAGGTGGAAGAAAGCGATGCTGGTGAGGGACCGGATGTGGGGGAGGAAGGATAATTGGGGGTCGAACCCGATGCCTAGGTTGCATACTGCTTCGGAGAGTTTTAGGGGAAGGTCGGGTAGGTGGAGGAGGTGAGAGCCGTGTGATTTTAGACATTGATGAGAGCCAAAGAGTATGGCTTCCGTCTTGTCAATGTTCAGCTGAAGGAAATTCGTGCTCATCCAGCTCCTGAAGTTTTGACAGGCAGGCAGATAGAACATCAGGGGACTGGGGGTCGCAAAGAGAGGTGGAAAAATAGTTGGGTGTCATCCGCATGCATGTGGAAGTGTACCCCATGTCTGCAGATGACATCCCCAAGAGGGAGCATGTAGATCAGAAAGAGGAGGGGACCAAAGATAGATCCTTGGGGTACCCCGCAGGTGACTGGGTGAGAGCGGGAGGAAAAACCCTTTGTGCAGATGTACTGCTGGTGGTTCGTGATGCAGGACTCGAACCAGGCGAGTGCGGTCCCATTGAGGTGGATGACGAAGGAAAGGCGGTGGAGGAGGATGGCGTGATCGACTGTTGGAACGCGGCGGAGAGGTCCAGGAGGACAAGGAGGCAGAAGGATCCCTGGTCACAGATAGAGAGGATGTCGTTTGTGACTTTCACAAGCGCAGTCTCTGTACTGCGGGCAGGGCGGAAACTGGACTGGAGGGGTTCGAAGAGGAAGTGGGAAGAGAGGTGGGCGCGAAGTTGATTGGCAACAACGCGTTATAGGACTTTTGCGAGGAAGGGCAGGTTAGAAATGGGGCGGTAGTGGCTGGGGTTTGAGGGATCTAGGGAAGGTTTTTTGAGGAGGGGCGTGATGACAGCAGTTTTGAGGGGGTAGGGACTGATCCAGAGGAGAGGGATTTGATGGCATCAGCCAATAGTGGGCAGAGGAGGAGAAACATGGCTGCTCTGGAAAATGGAGGAGAATGGCTGAAAGCTAGTCCAGTGATGGTGGGGCTGATTCGGTGGGGGACATAATGTAGGCCAACGAAGAGAAGGGTCGAGTTGATATGGTTGCAGGAGGTTGCATGATGGATTGGAATGCTGTTGTTTTCTACACATCCCATTCCCCTGCTTCCCCTCCCCTTTTTAGTTATCTTTCCTGGAGTATCAATGAGAGACGAACAGCTGTACTCTGGGGGCGGGGGTTGGGGTGGGGGGAGAAACCAAGAGAGAGCGAAAGAGAAAAAGGAGGACAAGATGAGCACCTGCAAATGGAAAGAGTTGATTTCAAGAAATTGTGCTTTCACCCAATTAGTAATTGATGCTCCTACGTCATGCACATTCCTTCTTGAAAATAATTTATGAGTTCTATCTAAGACCTTCGAAGCTCATTGGATTGAATATACTTTAATGCCTCCTGAAGATCAAAAATATCAGAGGAAGAAAATTGCTGTCTACATGAGTTTGATGCGTTTTGTTAATCATTTCAGTGGTTTAGAAGAAGCAAAATACTTTGTGGACAAGTGATAATGGCTTCTTGTGGGATATTTCTATATGCAAATTGCCTACGTGGGTGCCTTCAAAATAGACAGTCACTACAGTTCACAGTAAATCCTGTGAAGCGCTATGAGACATCCTCGTGACGTGAAAGGCTCTATATCAAATGCAAGGATTACTTTTATTGCTTACCTTTACAAGTCTAAGTTTGTATATTCACCGTTCTGGCATATGTCTTGCAGATATTTCATTCATACTTTTGTTGTGGGTTACATTTTATAATAATAATAATAATCCTTGCATTTGATATAGCGTTTTTCACATCTCTTCGACGTCTCAAAGTGCTTCACAGAATATGCTGCAAAGTGAATTGACCACACATTTGTGGGCGAAACGCAGCAGCCAATTGCGCACAGCAGTGTCCCACAAACAGTCGTGGATTAAAAATGACCAATTTATTGTTGTTTTGGAGGGATTATTATTAGGCGTGTGGAGTAAGGAAACTTGCTCAAGGTTTCGCCCTGCCTGGAATTGAACCCTGGTGTCTCACTTGCAAGGCGAGTGCTCTAACCACTGAGCTACAGGACTCCCACCTGTAGTCCTGCACCTGTACCTCCCCCACCCCGAGAAAATATTAAAATAATCTCATGCCAGAATGTCTTCAACATCGGTCTTGCAGATAATAGCTGACAAGTGACTTTGTATTTTACCACAATTAAGTGATACTTACTTACATTACAATTGGTATGATAAGTAAATTGATCACCCGGGTGTCTGACACAAGCAGAAACCCATCCCTATGCTGAAACCAAACTAAGTTCCATGCATTCTGCCTATACACCAGAAAATTCGCTATCTGGAATGGAATGCACACATTCTCCCTAGAGGGCCACCCCTGGTTACCTACTTCCAAAAAGAAGCACAGGTTGGCAAGAATCAACCTCGGGGACCAAAGTATGTTAGTTGGGGCACTGCTGGAGTTTAACAAGCAAAAAACATATAGCTTCCCGTTGAAAGCAGTGTCTGGCAAGTTCCCATTACTTCTCCAGCTAGCAATACCCAAAGGGCTTTGGCTTGCAGGTCCAACAACAACAATAACAAAATTACATTTGTAAGTCCCTTTCACATCGGGAGCATGTTCCAAGGCACTGAAAATTCCTCGCAACAGAAGCTGAGTTGAAGAAATTCTTGACCCCAAGTCCTACCGATGAGCCAACCTGGCTGGTCTGTTTTCAGCAGCGTCTGAAGTACCGCGCCTCTTGCTGGCTCGGGAACCAGATTACCGAGACCACCAGAAGATTGACTCTATTCTGCTGTCAAGCATGTCACATTGGAGCTTGTTTAGCTCCAAGGAAATCCCACTTACCTCCCCCACCCCAAGGAAATATTAAAATAATCTCATGCCAGAATGTCTTCAACCTCAGTCTCACAGGTAATAGCTGACAAATGACTTTGTATAAACTGGATATTTTGTGGGAAATAGTTGTTTTCAAGACATGAAGACAGTTGCTCAGTGATTGTGAGGATGGTGTTAAGGGTCCAGTGTCTTGGTGAGAGGGATGATGTGTCTGCATGATGAACAGAGCATCTATCACTGCCACAGACCTTTATCAAAGTTAGTTGTGATTATGAATGTAGTAGTTGTTGATTCTAAAGGAATGATCTGTTCGGGCTGGGGTTTGCATGAAGACATGGATTTGCATGGAGGATTTGCTATGCATCTCTTGTGATTGGTTTATCTTTTTACAGTGCATTCTTAATGTGAAAAATAGATTTTTCAGCTTTTTTTTTAATGGGAACTGAACTGCTTTTGGAGACCTTTCAGGTGTTGGTTTCCTCCTGCTTTGTTTTTGATTGACGGGATGACATGGTTTTAATTTATTTGCTTTCACTTAGCGAAGTCAGGAACATCATAAAAAGTTGTTTGGAGGAAAAAGCTACATAAACGTCTTATGACCTCTGCATACTGTATTACAGCAGTTCATTTTGTTGCCAGCAATGATCCTGCAGTGCTGTGTTGCAGTTTCCAAGGATCAGGATTAGAGTCTGGCTGCTGTGTATAAATATAGAATCTGAGCACAGCATTCGTAGCCGTCTTCGCACCTGAACCGAGTGTCTGGAGTATAATTAATGGGGATAGTGTTTGCTATCATAACGCTATTGTTTGTGCTCCTTCAAATCCCTTTTGAATCCTTGTGTTTTACACAGTAATAACATTTTCTCCAGTAGGAGAATAGCACAATATACTAGTGCAACAAATTTATATTGTATATTAAAATTGACGCCTTCGACAGCAATGTCTTGATTAGGTTGTGAAATCCTTTGTCTTTTGGATGTGTTATGATGTGCACAGAAGAGCTGTGACAATGTTTTTTGTTTGTAGTATGGGGAATAATAACAGTTGATAACAATAACAATGCATCGGAACGGTGCTCTGAGATGTTATCCTAAATGAAATGAAGGGTGCTATACAAAATGCAAGCTGTTGTATTATAAGTACTTCGTAGACACTACCTATAGAATTATAATTGAGTACGAAGACCCTACTGTAACTCTCCACTCCCACTGGGTCAGAATGTTATGGTTTTGAATCCTACATCAGAATTTGAGCTCAAAATCTAGACTGACGCTCCAATACAATGCCCAGGAGTACTGCATACTCGCAATGCCATCATTAAATCAGAAAAGATTCTGCATTTTTTTAAAAAGTACCTTACACCAAGAGTTTCAAAATTACTTGTAGAAAGTGAAATTTCTTTAAGGTGCACTGAACTCCGGTTTCATTGTTTCTTCTTTTGTATTTTGCAGGAACCGGAGACATTGTCGCCATTATGATTCCTGAGCTGAAAGGGCGAGAGATTATGAGCCTACTTGAAAAGAATGTCACCATAATGATGTACATTACAATCGGAACACGTAATTTACAGAAATACGTCAGCCGAACCTCAGTTGTATTTGTGTCAATCTCGTTCATTGTGTTAATGATCATTTCGCTGGCCTGGTTGGTCTTCTACTACATCCAGAGGTTCAGATATGCAAACGCTCGAGACCGGAATCAGGTACAGTCATTTTTAGCTTTGGATTTCAGAAGAATGACTGACTGCATATTTGAATTTATTTTGAAAAACTTTAATCGTCGCAAGAAATCTGGAATGTGTTCTGCCATTTATGTTTGTCCACACACAAAATGTGATGTTAATAAGTTAACTGATGCATGGTTTTCCTTCGGTGTGGCCTGACAACTAGGAACCCATTCAAGTTTTAATATATAAAAAAAATTAAATTAAAAGCATTACATAGAATTACATAGAAATACACGGCATGGAATCAGGCCATTTGGCACAGCACAGGCTCCATCTCTCCTATAACCTCTATTCTCTTCTTCACATAAGCATCGTTTGTTAAATACATTGAGACATTTTGCTCAACCACAGCTTCTAGTAATGAGTTAACATTCTCACCACTCTGTTTGTGAAGGCCTTTTCGTCTTAAACTCCCTTTTTGGTATGCTCACCAGCTATCTTATATGTAACCTCGCCCCCCGTGTTTTGGACTCACTGCCACATGGAAACAGCTTATTATGAACACTATATCAAATCATTACATAATCTTAAGCACCTCTGTCAGGTCGTCTCTCAATTATCTCATCTCTAGAGAGAAAAGCTCCAACCTGGCCAATCTTTTTCATTAGCTGTATCCACTCATCCCTGGTAATATCCTTGTAAATCTAACTATAGATCTCCAATACTTACCTTACTGTAATATGCCAACCCAAATGGCACACAGTAAACCAAATATGGTCTGAGTGAGGCTTTATATAAATTTAAGTTATATTTTATATATTTATAAATATTTATAAAATTTTGCCTTGCGTCCCTACATTTACATACTATTCCCCTGAACATAAAGTCAAGGACTGTATCTATTCTTTGTGACCTTGTCCACCTGTGCGGCTACTTTTAGAGTCTTGTGAATCTGAATCCCAGATCTCTTTGTTTCTCTACCGTTCTTAAGTTCCCTACCATGCAGCTTACAGTCAGCTTCTTCATTCTTTATACCAAAGTGAATCATTTCACATTTCACCATATTCAATTTCACCTGCAATCAATTTAGCCATTCTTGGAAGCAAAATATTCTGAATTCTTTGCATCTCAATTTTGTTAGAAAATTGAGTGAATTGTGCTTTAAACAGTCAATTGCTCAAATTAGCTAAAAGTGTGTTTAATACATTAATTATTGAGTGTAAATAAATTGCATCGTCTTGAAATGCTTAAAACATTTAGCACTGTAAAAAAAATTAAACATCCTTGGTGTGACTTAGTTTCAATAGTCCTTTCTCCTCTTATTGAATTCAACCCATATTGGTGTGTTTGAAGCCTCTTTTCACTTCTAGTTGTAAGAATCCTATAAGAAATTTCCCCGAGGAACCATGAGTTATCAAAAGGATTACAAAAAATTACTTGCTTCTTTATAAGAACAAATAATCTTGGACTTATATACAAGGATAACTTATTTATTTCTTAATGACCGTCCTTTAAAGCTCAATAGAAGACTTAATATCTAATTGTAGTTAGTTTTGTTTTTCAAGGGCATGGGAAATCTGGTCCTCCTAAAATAATTGACTATTTTTGACTGAATTCTGTGAAATCTGGTTACCAAATATCCTCACAAAGAAATTTGTTTTCATTTTCAACAAAGTGTCTTTGCTTTCAATAAAACTTTTTCTTTGTAACTTTCCTATTTGAAAAGACGTTGACAAGATATCAAGCGACACGTTGGAATTATGAGCTCATAACCTGGCTCCTATCTTTTTTCGAATAGTGCTATGGGATGCTTAACACTTATGCAAACGTCTACATGAACTCCCCAGCCCAGATTATGAGCTAACTCTTTCAGTGTTTAACTTGATATTTTGATAATGTCTTTTCAAAATAGCGCTAAGGGATCTTTAACAGCCACACAAACTTTTACTTGAACCCCCACCCCCGCTGCCCAGATTATGAGCTCACAATTCCAACGTGTGGTTTGATATCTTGTCAACATCTCAAAAAGCTTCACATGATTTACTTTAAAGTGACTGTACTTGTGGGTGTACAAGGCAGCCAATTTGCAAACAGCAATATCCCGCAAACAGGCATTAAGTCATTGACCACATTTTTTATCTGGGGATTTGTTGTCCAGGAGAAAGTCTTCTCTTTTTGAATAGTGTTATGGGCGCTTTAACGCCCACGCAAGTGTCCACATGAACTTTCCAGCCTCGATGATGAGCTCACAATTCCAAAATGTGGCTTGAGCCCACAATATCCTAACACAAGAGATGAAAGTGCTACCATCTGACCCAGGCTCACACCTAAGTCATGTAACTAAATAAGTAATACAGCTAGATGACTGTACCAAAGCCTCATTGTTTTGGCCGATGTTAAACGTTTGATTTCATACACCAGTCCTTGGGTTGATTTATTTCTGTTTCTAATCTCCCTCATTATGGCATTGATTTCACTGATGTCAATCGCTACTTTGCCTGTTTGTTTCCTTACAACTTCCATGCCTCCTGCATGAATCCTCAAAGCTTTTGTGCAGGCAACATCCAAAACTTCAGAACAAAATGAACACAGGTATTGCTATAGCCTCGGCAACCAATATAGTCTTGTTTTTTGGGCAAAAGCTTAGGTTCATTTAATTATTTTATTTCCCAGTGAGGTCCACTCACGTTTTTTGATAATATCAAACATTGCTTTATTATACTGTACTGAGTGGTTTTCTGAAGCTTGGATTAAGCCAGCTATTAAGATAGAAGAGTTTTACTGCCTTTACACTTTGGTGCATTTATATGTGCGAAATTGGAATGAAAATCAAGTTTAAGTGGTGAAAAGAAGAGGCTGAGGGCAACAGTGGAAATAGGTGTGGGTAATATTGAAACTGATTAAAATACTTCTTGTCACGTTGAAAAATTCATAGACTAGTTTCCAACCGGCAAAGTGAGTATCAGAAGAAAGCTTTTTTATGAGTCTGCACAATTTCTAGTTCCTAAAGGGTATCGTATTCATTCCATGAAAAGATTGACGATGGAGTTAAGTGGACCTCATCTGAGTATAATTAGGAACTTGTTCCCTGCTCCATATCATGTGCTCCCAGCTGTCAGTTATTGGACTGATTCTATGACATTCCTCATAGGGTCAAGTTAAAAAAAATGGCAAGTCTACTTAACGTGGTCTTAAAAGAGCCTTTCAGCAAAATTTTCCACTGAGGCTTAAGAAAAGATTTTTCATTTCCGTAGTTCTTTCAGGAAACTATGGCTGCTTGTTTTTTGTCTCAGTACTGCAGGTGCTTGTGTTCAGCAGAACTCAAGCCAAATGTTGATTTTATATAAAACCTAGAAAAGTCATATTGGGTTCTCAACAGCATAACCTGTTTAAAGCAATGACATCTGATACAATACTTGTTTGAAAGTTTAAGTGAATATAAAGATGTGTAAAGATAGAAAAGGTTTTGGATCATGCTGTTAATGCAGGTGGAGGGCTAAAATATTGCAGATGATTGGATTTGCTGCCTTCTATACATACCCAATCCTCCTAAATATAGTTCTGCATGGAAATAGAAAAGCAACCCTCCTGAATGTATCTAATAAGAAGATTGTAAGCATAAACCAGGGGGACAAAGACTAATAGATTTTGCAGAAAAATATAGTTAAAATGTTATGCTGGAAAGTGTGGCATTATCCATTGTATATCACATTGTTCGCCATTGAAAGAATAAGGAGAGCAAGTATGTGCTAAATGATAACATTTTAAAAGGAGCAGAAAAGCAGAGAAAGTTAACAGATAATTATTTTAAGGTGGGAAGGCAGGTGAACAAATCTGAAGAAAACTAATGGGATTCAACTTCAGTGGTACCCCAAAACACATTCTGGGATCCATGAGTCTTGGCTCTTGCCAACCTACATCTAATAATCTCCTAAATTAAGTAACTAGGGTGTGTCTCTCCAGGGGTGAGTGTGCATTTTATTCCAGACTGAGGGAAATTTCAAAATGTAGGTGGCATATGTGGAACTCTGTCTGGTTTGGATATTGTTAAGCATGGTGATGGGTTTCCACATGTGTCAGACACCCGGCTTTTTTAAAAAAAAATAATGTTTGACTTATAAATTGTTAGTTAGACTACAGAATATCTATCCAGTTTTGGAAGGATATCAAGGCCACAGAGAGGGGACAGAGATGTAATATGATACCAAAGGTTTGTATATGATGTGTTGTTCTTGGCATTTCATAACATAAAGAAGATGCTTTAAGGTTGGAGTTTGCATCAGTATTTTAAAAAAACTATTAAATAATAATAATCCTCGCATTTGATATAGAGCCTTATCACGTCTTCGAGACGTGTCAAAGTGCTTCACAGAATATACTGTGAAGTGAATTGACTGTATATTTTGTGGGCAAAACGCTGCAGCCAATTGCGCACAGTAGTGTTCCGCAAACAGTCGTGGATTGAGTGACCAAGCTCTTTTTTATTTATTTTTAAATAACTATTACCCCTGGAAAAGCGATCGACCGATTGACTAACAACTGGGTTCCTACTTACTGCTAGGTAAACAGAAGCGTGTTGGAAACTTGCCCAACGTTTCACCCTGCCAGGAATCAAACCTAGGTCTCTCACTTGCGACATGAGTGCTCCAACTGCTGAGCTACAGGAACTCCATAAATCTATAGAAAACTCAAGTACCATTGTTTTACGTTTATGTGAGGAAGTCCAAGACTGCTGGGTGCTTTGTTTACTGGATGTTGGTGCTTTTCAGTGGTCAAAAAACAGTTTGTACTTGATCAGTCCTTGTGTCAGCAAACCATACAACTAAGTGTAAACCTTAAGAAATTCAAAGCAGAATTACAAGAGTGAAGGCTAGTTGAAAGCTAGTGTAGAAATAATAAGCACTGTTGTGATAAAGCAATCTATTTCACTACCAGCAACATTTCCTGTTCCTGTTTTAGCTGGTTAGGCATCCTAAGGCACTATATCAAATGCAAATACTAATTTAAATTTTAAAAAATTAATCACCCTGATTAAT